GTAAATAAGTGGGGTAAAGGTGCCTTTTTCCACCTGAATGATTCTGTTGTTGTACTTTTTCATTTTCCTCATTTCATGGGGTTCATGAGCTTTATAGATCTGTTCCATATCTTTTTTGTCATATGTGGATGAGTTGGGGTGGGTAACACAGACATCAAAGAATGTTCGTTCAAATGTGCTCCAGAGACCTCGTGAGGATACATCAGGTGCAGCTCTATCAGCATTGGTACCAACAATTTCTTCATTATCAAGGGGTACCAATGCTGGCTCAGTCACTACATCTCTGCATACTTCACGCTGCAGCTCTGCATTTAGATCACGGATGTTGTTGTCTCATAAAAACATAGCCACCTTTCTTGCATATAAGTGTGTGATTCACATCATAATTCAACTTGTTTGACTGGTTAAGATATTTCTTAAACGGTTTTTGCGGAAAGTCGTGTCAAAGTTTATGCCGTGGTGTCAGTAAAATGGTACGGATAAACACACATATATATAGTAAGACGGAGGCATACTCCATAAGAAAGTTAGTTTGTCACCTCTGCCAGCGATACATGGATCATTTAATAAAATAATCCCGGAAAGGTCATTCAAACAGCATCGTGTACATCAAATTACATCAAGTGATGTAGTTGGCAGAGTACAATCATAAATCATGAGCAATTTGTTTCATATCTATCCCTCGTAGCTGTTCTCCTCAAGGATCAGGTTGCAGGATACACGGATCTGCTGCTGATGCGATCTGCTCTAAACATTTTTAATGCGAGGTTTTCATGGTCGACATTCTGAGTTGTTCCTACTGCTTCAGCTCAGTAGCAGCATAGGCCCTGGTTTCCTGCCACATTGGTACATCTGAAAGTACAGAAAGGTGGTGGATTTCGGGGTCCAGGACCTTCCTTCTTTATTCTTTAAAGTGGTATCATTTCTCTGAGATGTTTGCAGAGTCTTCATTTTATTATATTATACTAAAGTTGTGATCCAAGGTTGATAGTTAAATGATTTCTTGTGAGACCGTTTAATTTAAAATTAAATTATTCAATATTCAGCTGTCTAGATCTTAACCTGTGTTGTACCCTAATAGGAAGTTTTTCTTGTCTAGGAGCAGCCCACTGTTCTTGATCTTAGTGATTACACCGAGTATCTTAGACTCTTTGCTGTTACTTAAGTGTTGCATAGGACAGGCGCTTTGACATCGGCTATCTTTATTTTTATTTTTATTTGGATTGTTGATATAAGGGATAAAAATGCTTTATTTCATTTCATAGCGGGGGATAGCAGATTCGTTTCAATAGTGTCAATCCAGACCTTCTGTTAATAGCTGATTATGTTGGACTGTGTGTAATGGGCGAGAACTTTGTAATGTGGTTTTGTTAGATCTATCATTCTGGTTCCATGAGACTTATCTTCTTTCCAGAGTAAGTATTTTTTGAGTGACATGGTCAAGGCATGAAAGCTTGTTATTCTGCTTTCGTCAACTTGGTAGAGGGTAGCTTAGAGAAGCTTAGAGATTGTCACCTTGTGTGAGTACTTTGCACAAGAATTTATCCAAAAGTGCTTCGAGGTGCACATCCAGTGGTGGGAGGTGGAGAGCAAGTTCAGTTAATTCCCTTTGTGGGACAGAGATAGTTCAACCGTTGCATACCTGCTAACATGTACTGAAACCCCTTTGTTTCTCCCGCCCTGGGTCCTTGTCTGCTTCTCCATTTTAACGCGAAGCCTAATTTCTAGTTTTTATAAATACAATGCAAGCGCATGTTTACTAATCTTAATCTACCTAACAACTCAATTGCCCAAGTCACCATACCCGTAGTATATTCCTTAGTAATAAAAGAACTTAAAAGTTTTTCAAATTGTTGCTATAATTGATTTAAATAAAAATTTGTTGTTTTCTTGAAAAAATTTGTTGTTTTCTTGTCGTCTAAACAATTTAAATCAAACCAAATAACAATGACACAAACATAATCCCACATTGACAAGAATAACAAAAATTTATACCCAGTATAACTATAATTGGGCCCATAATTAGATGCTTTAAGATTTTCATCATCATTTCCACTACTATGTAAGTTACAGCAACGATTTACATCTGCGTTGTGTTCCTCTGGTTGCCATCCCATTCAAACAGTAATTTTCTAAATACCTTCCTTGCTAACTCGATTTCAACTTTATTTGGTTTGCCTGCTCAGGCTGCGTGTGGCTGTAAATTCTCTCTTGCTACCCCGTATCAGCCAAACTTGAAACCTTGATCTTTCAAATTGCAAGTGTTCAGGAAATTTCTCTAGCTTGAGTGGTTCATGAATAGTGTAACACTAAGGTTTAAGCAGGGGTTGACAGTACATGATTAATAATACTGACTTGACAAGTGTCTCTCCCACTGTCTCCCTCTTTGATCTGTAACGGGTACAGTTCTTGGAGGATTCCTGAAAAGGCATCTTGATGATATTCTTTTACAATTTTTATGTGTCTGAAATCTTTCACACAAACCTTTTGTAGTAGTATGAAACCAACTTCCTCAGTCCAGATTTTTAAAAGATGCTCTCACAGGAGGAATGGTACCAAGTTATTCAACACAACCTTTCTTGGGAGATATAATTACTTAAGTTACAGATAACATCTTGTTTGCCGTGGCAAGGGTTTTGAGTACAAAATTGTTTACATTGTTCATCACAGTAAATTCCTGATTTACCGCAAACCCCTATTTACTTCAATGGTCATTTCCTTCTCTAAAATAAAGCTTAACATGCATATTGCAGCTTAATATTGTCAAACAAAACCCCTATTTACTGCAAATGGTTCCTTCCCACTCTAACCTTTTCTGAAGTAAATGTAGGATCGTTGGTTCACTTCGAGTCCTGAACTGCAACTGATGCAATGGACTGGCTACATGGTTTGGGGCTTTGTCAATATTGGGCACTTTCAAAAACATCTGTCACGGAAAAAATGTTAAAATTTGCCAAAAATCAGTTTTTGTGGCATAATTTGGTGGATAATCTTTGGAACGGGATGAAACTCCAGGATATGGTGTGCTATACCCTAACCTTTACTATCTGCCACTTTTTGTTTCGATTTAGGGCTAAATCTGGTGGATAAAAGTGAAACAGACCAATCCACTTCAGGTGGCCTTTAAAAATATTTAATTCCATCTAAACTCCTAAAATATGATTGAGACTTAACAATAATCGTTATAACTTCATAATTTCATAAGTAGGGCCGGGATTTTTCTTAAGGGCCAAATTTGGTGGATATATTTTTTTACCTCTTTTTTAAGACTGTTATTTGTTAGCTAACATCAATTTACTGGTCTTAAAATGATGCAAAGGCAATGTTAAATCTATGGCATCAACTATGAAGTACAAGATTCAAGTTAAAAGGCTATTTTTGGTGGATATAAGTCAATATTAATTAGTTAAACACGTAAATGTTACCAAAATATCAATAAATAAGACATCATCATGATTAGAAACAGTTGAAAAAGATGAAATATAAGATGTTGAACATTTATGCATAAGGTACTATGGCATTTTAAGCATTCAGGGCCAATTTGGTGGATAATTAACTCAAAAATACTTAAAATATCGACCTGGATATTTTGATATCCATCAATTTTGGCCTTAAAAGTCGGCTTGAGCTTATCACATTTTGTGCTGAACAAGAAAAAGGTCTAAACAAACCAATATCAGTGTATGATTTCATAATCGAGCAAATCTAAGGCCAGAAATAGTGGATAAAAAAGCAAATTTAACCGTTTTTAAGCTAATTTCTTAGGCATTTATCCACCAAAAACGGCCCTAAATGGAGAATGTTTGGAACGTTTACTTGAAACTATAGCCCTTCTTTTCAACCTCAGAGCAATGATTTTCAGCTCTTTCGACCTTAAGATATAATTATTGGGCGTTGAAAGTGGATCACATACGTTATCAGTCAAGAAATCGTTATTTCAATCACTGAGGTAGGTTATTCACATTTAATATCCACCAATTTTAACCTTAAAAGTCGTCTTGGACTGAAAATTCTTTTGAACTGACTCAGCAAAGGGGATTTTCTATCTAGAAACAGTTGTAGTTTCATGATAGAACACATCTAGGGCCAAAAATAGTGGATACAAAAGCAAATTTTCCCGTTTTAGTACTTTTATCCACCAAAAACAGCTCTAAAGGCTGAAAGGAAACAGTTTGTTAAGTTCGTATGAAACTATATCCATTCATTATGGCCCTAGAGCAATAATTGTATACATTTTCAGCTTCTAGACGAGATAATTGGGGTCTAACAATGGATAACCTGCATTATTGACTCAGAAATTGACTTAAAATTAAATCAATCTTGAAGCTCAAATATATCCACCAAAAATGGCCTAAAAATTAAATCTTCTATGCTATCATAAACTTGAAACGATTTCCAACCTGATCCGTTCACTGAGTAAAGCTGGTGAACTTGTTGACCAATATAATTTTTTCAGTTGAAAATTTTCGGTATTGAATTTTATTTCATCGTTTTATTATCCACCATATCTAGCCTTAAAATTGAAATCTTTCTTTATTTTCGCCTTTTATCATAGAGGCATATCGATTTGCTACAATTCTATCTTTAAATAATCACCATAAATTAACCACACGTAAAGTTACAGGCCAACAAATGATATATCCACCAAACCCCTCTGAAAAGTATATCCACCATTATTAGCCCTGATTTAAATGCGTGTATCTCTGTTCATAGACATAGTAGACATTTTATTCTTTTTGTAAAAGTTGAACTATCGCAAATCCTATGCTGAAAAAAAGTTTAATCAAAATATTGAGTTTATCCACCAAATGAGAGCTTCTAGAAGTTGAAATTTTTCCCGTGACAGATTCGTTAACATAGTTTTTGAAAGTGCCCTATTCTAAGATGCTTTTAATGAGGATAATTCTGTACTTCTATTTATTTATATTCCAATTCTGTACGCTGAGCTAGTGTACCAACACAATGATAAACCTTTCATCCTCATGATCCCTACCCCCCCTAGCTTTATGATCAGTTGCTGAAGGAAACCGAAGGTCTCATGAGAATAAAATGAAAATATTAACAAGCTTACATAGAATCCGATGATTGAATCTTAGTCTCAAATCTGAAGGGACAGGACTATGGTATGTTTAGATACTTCCTTTACTTTTAAAAAAATTGACAATGGAGCATGATGAAATATTTACAATCGATGACCGTCTATACTAGTAAAGTTCGTTTGATTTTCAATAAATATTTTATCGTCCTAATGACTAACCTCCTATGTGTTTTCAGGACTATTCCAAGTTCAATGATGATGATTTCGACCTAAAGAAGTGGGTAAATGGTGCATTAAAGTCAGAACAAAATCCCAACACCCTTGTCATGAAGCTGCAGCTGTTAATGCAGGCAAGTTACTTAGTTACTTGGTTGTAAGTATAAAGGTATAATACATAATTATATCGTACTACCTTACTAACGTTTGTAGAACTGTTTAAGATCTAGAAAAGGATAGTAACCTAACATGATATCGATTGGCTCAGCCATCAATACAATGACAAATAGTTAAAAAAGGATGACACGAGTATTTTGCTTTCATTGCGGCCTTAAACTGTCCAGCAAGGCAACCTACCTCAATGTCACACAGCCTTTTAGTGTACCACCGATCGCGATATGTGGTTCAGCCAATTAACAACATTTGTAATTCTCCGTGTAACCATGACTCTGCCACAGGAGGTTAATGGCTCACTAGAAGAGTCCACTGCTAACTTGCTGTCAGACATACCACGTGTTGTAACAGAGATACAGGGTCTTAACAACGAGGCTGTCTTGCTTCGTAACCAGATGAACCTTGTTAAAAGTGATATCAGCAAGGTTTTTAGCCATTTCTTATTTTTTATTCTTGCTGCAAGTTTCCCATTTTAATGTGAAATGCATTATAGTGTATGTGTTTATTGAAGTAATCAAAATGTTTAAGTAATCACATTTGTTGTCATCTTTGTTATCGCCATCTATAATTGTTACATTATATATAATGCTCTTTTTAAAAAAATGTCTCTATTTTTCTAACGTCAACACAATGTTCTGCAGGTTCAACAAGATACAGTAGAATCCATGTCAACAGTCGTAGAACTGGACAAGATAAAAGACAGGATGTTAGTGACAGAAAAGAAGCTAAAACAGGCAGACAACTGGTGTGTTCTGAACGACCAGATAGACCTCCTCTTTGAAGAGCAGGATCTAGAGGGGATATCAGAGAAGCTGGGGGAGATGAGAGACGCTCTAGCGGGACTTGTGAACTTACCAGACTATTCTGATAGATGTGATAGACTTAACAATCTTTCAAACAGACTGGAAGCTATTCTTAGTCCTAAACTTATATCCACTTTCAACAAGTAAGAATTTATTGTAACTTCAATCGAAAACCTTCCCGTTATAAATAAATAAATTTTGAATTACGTCTATGATTATAGAAATGGAGTCTCGTTCGTCTGATTACAATGACGATAATTCCTAACATATTATGAGACTAATTGCAATGTGTTATATCCACTTGAAAGTATTAATAAGACGAATTGATTGTTAATACTAACAAATATTTCAGTGACAAATCAGAAGACGCCCGCTTGTACTACAAGATATTCAGCGACATGGGACGGCAGGGTGAACTGTACAACTACTATCACCGAACACACAAGACAAACTCACAGAAACAGTTCAACATGTTGAGAACTAGTGGTAGTGTTGATACCTGGTTACATGGCTTTTATTCCTCTGTTTTGGAGCTCTTTCACGCCCAGGTCAGTGCTCAATTGCAATTCAATCTAACTCTACTGAGCTGAGGTGACTAGTTTGGTGTGACGGCTAAAAACGGCTAAAACCATCAGCATTTTGCCAGAATGAAGTCTGGTATCCTCGTGGCTCGTCAGATTTCAGGTTAATTTCCGCGAAGCAACCTGATCGTGTTTTTGTGTAACTCGCTCTAACCCTAATGACTTCAGTTATCGTGGACGAGTGGGATATACACAAACCACACAGCGGTGGTGTTATCTCTGGTAACACTTTGTTTAGATAACACTGATCTACAACACGAGATCAGTAACTTCCTGTCTGACTCTCAAACTCCAGTACTCGCTCTCACTACCTTACTCGATATTGTGTACAGGTTTGTGCAGTCTTAAAATATTTTATACTCTTATATTTTATTCCACTTAGGAGAATGGCGCGAGTTTTGGCCCTGATAAAACTAATTGGCACTGCGGACGCCGGTCGGGACTATCATTGTCATGAATGTTGTAACTAAGAATTCCCTGCTATTGTATTTCAATAAACCGTATCAAATAATAATTATAAAAGTATTTATCTTCAATCTTACCTGAGTTTCCCCAACATCAGATTTGCCAACTCCTTAGGACGTGAACTAACAGAGGTTGATAACGAAATAACAGAAAAACTAGGAAGATCCATCATATCTCCTTACATCAGACATTTAACTTCTCTTGGTGACAAAGTAAAGTCATCCCTGTTGCGAGATGTGCACTCTCTAGCGATGGTACGGTCAATTATCTTTATCAGTCTTATTGGTCTTTATCAGTCTTATTGGTCTTTATAAGTCTTATTGGTCTTTATCAGTCTTCTTTCGCACCCGTTCTCCAAGATAACTTACAATTTCTTTATTTTTGGTAGTTCCTATTACTTGAAACGGCCAAGATTTTTCGAAACTTTATTTTTACTAATATTCATTCGTTTAGGTTATAATTTTCAAATAGGAATAATTTCAGAGGGTAAAGCGAACAAGCTCAGATTCAGTCTCAGAATTACACTCTAGTACTAAACGTGTAGTGGCACATGTTAAAGATTGCATACCCCAATGTTTGAATCTGACCAATGGTTACACTCTTGTAGATGTGGTGTCAGCTATTGAGTTCTACTTCGATCTACTCGTGGAAAAAATAAACAGTTTCATCAGGTTTGTCAGATAATTCTAAGCGATGTTATCTATTTTATATTACCCACTCTGCGAAAATTCTAAGCAAAATCTTTATTGAAACCTAAAAATAAGGTCGCGCGGGTATTTAGGAGTTGACCGCACTCCATGGATCATCAGCCGGGTAAGATCCGCGGCAGTGGGACCCTTCTTTCTGTGGGATCCTGTTACTTCAAAGGATCGAACAGAGAGAAGGGCTGGCACGAAGAACAGATAGTGAAACTATTTGTTCCCCCCACTGAGGCGCAAGCAAGGGTTGTTGCCTGGCCTTTTTTAAAATCCTCAACGTGGTAGATAAAATCCAAGTCTTGGTTGCTAAAATCGTGATAAAAATCTTGAGCTAAAACCTCAGATTACAGGATGAGATCCGATAAATCGGAGGCTCATGCTCCTAACTTCGATCGGTTGCACATTAATGATGCAGGGCAGTGATACCGACTGCGTTGGCTTGGGTGCAGGCGGAGCTGCAGTGAGGAGTTCTGGTTTCGCCAGGATCACTTCTTTGTTAACAGGTTGGACCACTTGAGCAGATTGCAACTCATCTGTTTGAGTCCTGGTATCCGCTGTCTGCAGCTCTGGCGTGGTTGCAGCGTCCGCCACCACAATTCTTTTGGGCATTCTTTTCTCTGCTGCCCTTTCCAATGTGCTGATTTTCTGGTCCAAATATTCAGCGAACTCATCGTTCGCCAAATTGCTGGTCAGTTCGTAGCTGGCCATTCGACTTTCCACGTCCTCGAGAGCAGTGTCGACTGCTCGTTTGCTGGAACGGGCCCAGAAAACTCCGATAATACCGCCAAGGATGACGGCTAGTAGTAAGCCAAAGCTTACCAACAAAAGGATTTCTTCGAAGATCATCCTTTCTTTGTCTTTTGAAGAAGGTAAATCAGTATTAATTCAAGATGATGATATTGTTGAAGGAATACTGGCAGAAAGTTAATCTGTTGTCACAGTATTTATACACAAATCCAGCACGTGCAAGTTCCAAGTCAGTTGCGCGTGCAAATTGACTTTATCGAGGGGGTTGGTATGGTAACAAGAATCTCGGCTACTGTGTGAGCATGGTTGGTCTGTTTGACCTGGGAAAGGGAGGGTAGCAAACAGATAGATGTAAATCCACATCTAGGCCTGTGACAATCACGTATGACTTGTTGGTTTGCGTAACGCGCGGTGACAATATCTTGGCGCGAAAAATCATACAAAACACTTTGAAGATACTTTTAGCGCGCACGTACTGCCGCTTTGTGTCTGAAGTTAACCAAATGTACCTCAGGGAAATGAGGGCCGCGTTTGGAGTGGAGGCCGGATCACAGTCGATGTTCCAAGAAGACCATTGGGTCGGGTTCCAGTCATGCTTCAAACTATTCCAAATCTTAGGTACGTCTGAAACTGCAGTTGTGAAATGAGACAACACCGTAGTTGGTGATTGTAATTCAGTTTAGTGAATCGCTTGTCTGTGGCCCTTCAAGCAGTGGCTCCGGTCGGTTAACGTGTCTCGTGTTTTGGGTCGTTTAATTCTTCTAAGATATTAACAGTATAAATGCAGTAAACTTTACATTTGTTAGTCGATTTATGGACAAATAGAAAAGTCAATTTAAGGCAAGTCGAATTATCAAGTCTTAAAAATATGATATTACATTTCAGACCTATTCAGCTACGTCTTTTTCAGGTGAATGTTACACTGATATTAAGAGCTTGGAATCGGAATGTATAGAAACGGTGAAGCAACATGTAACGAAAGGTCCTGGCTTAGTCACGAAAATTGACACTTGGCTTGAGGCAGATCCACTTAGATACGGAGCCAACAAAGCACTGCTCGACTCTCTGATTGATGGTTCGAAGATCACACTATTCGATAAAACGATGGAACTGTTTAAGAAACCAATTAACAATTGCAACAAGCTCTGTGTTGACTTTGTGTTGTTCCATGTCAAGTCCAATTTAAACGGTGTCCACTTGAGCGAAGAGTGGGTGGTCGACGAAGGAGCAGTGTTCAGTCCTTCTCCTCTGACCTACATAACAAGTCTAGGGGACTATCTGTTGTTGCTGCCCCAACAACTAGAGCCATTCTTCGCAGAAGAGAACATTCCTCTTGATACCGCTCTTATACTGGTCGACTTCACTCAGTTCCCTGGCATGGCTCAAGGTTAGTTCTGCATTTACACTTCCTTTTATTAAGAGCATGTGTAGATTTCGAAAGTGTAAATTTTCAATGTCTTAAGAATACATCTCGTATTGATATTCGATTTCACATTGAAATTCATTTCAGTATTAAGTTCATCGCACATTTTAGTTGGTTGAAAGTTGATTTATTTAAATTATAAACGTATTTCATGATTTCAGACGTGGAGGGAGATGCATTTGCTTGGTTAACATGTGTTTGTCAGAGCACACTGTTCACTATTGTTGAGATGATACTGAAGATACACCGACTATCGGGTACGTTACCTTTATCCAACTATCAAGATACTGTGAATAAGGGTAGTCACAACTTTCAGTGAGTGATATGATCAGGAATATAAACATGCAACTTTCCCAGGAGTGGGATGTAAGCAACTTACTGCGGATGTAGCTTATATCAGCAATGTGATGGGAGCTCTAGAGGTCCCATTATCACGTGACATAGTGGACATATCCAGACTCCTTTCACTTCCCATAGACCAGTTAGTTCTTATATTTAGTTTTTAGTTGTTTCTGCGTCACATTTATTATCAACAGGTTCCGTGATATAAGATATCATTGGTTGATTGTGGAAATTTGAACGAAACTCTCAATTTTTATGTCATGTTCCTTTAATATATATTCCCTCAGAATTGACAGTGCTGAAACGCAGAACATACCTAAGTACCTCCGAGGAAAGATCTCAACCATGAGGCGACCAGCCTATTAATTAGTCAATACCATAAACGGGGCCTTTGTTGACGGGAGCATGTTTATTTTCCTAAATTAACACTAGTACTGAATGTTTAGGTTTATGCATGCTGTGAACTGTTAAGTTGTTATTTTGAATTCTAAACCTTTAACTGAAATTGTAAATTTGTTCTGGCAGGCAGTGAGCTTTGAGAATGTTTTGAATGTTTAATTATTTTTGCATGCTGTTAAATTATTTGTTATTGCTAATTCTATGTTTATGATGTAATTTTAATTTCAGATTTAAAATGATCATCACGAGAGTTAACTCATTATACGCGTTCATTTTTAACTTCAATGTTGTTATAGTTATTTGTGATTCTAGTTTCTTTACATTTTTAATCGCAATTATCATGTAGGATGGCTGTTAAGAAATCAGCGGCCGTTTCCAAGGCCAAGAATGCCAGCAAAGCCGTATTGAAGGGCGGCAAGTTCACGCTGAAGAAGAAGAAGGTCATGACAAGTGCCACCTTCAGGAGGCCCAAGACAAAGATCACCCCCCGTAAACCCAAGGTTTGTCTATTCGAGCTTTTCATTAGAATTTAAAAAGTTACATTATTATATGAAGCCAGGGCCGGTATGGACTGACTCGTTAAAGCAGCTCTATCCCATTACTAATACTCGATAGATTTAATAGATTTTTCTAGTGTTTTAATAAGCTTTAAACTTGCGTGATGATTTTTAAATACAGACCACGCAAGTATTATTCTGATGTCTGGTTGGTCTATTACACTATATATATATAAATGTGAATTTCGTGTTTTACTGTTTCACTGAATGTCTCAAATATATATATATATATATATCATATTGATAATATTAATTGTTCAGTACGCCAGAAAGTCAGTGAACACCATCAACACTGCCAAGTTGGACAAATACAGCATCATCCAAAATCCTCTGACCACCGAATCAGCGATGAAGAAGATCGAAGACAACAACACGTTGGTCTTCCTGGTTAACACACGTGCTAACAAACCCCAGATTAAAATGGCCGTCAAACAGCTTTATGACATTGACGTCGCAAAAGTCAACACTCTTATCAGGTTAATAGATATCATGTGAAATTACTTCGTTTCTACAATAATCTTTATCATTGGCAAGTAGTTGTTCATTTTATTTTTGTGGTATTATCACTTATTATCACTTCAATTGATTTTAATTGTATTACAGGCCCGACGGACAGAAGAAAGCCTACGTGAGGTTAGCGCCGGATTATGATGCCTTGGACATTGCAAATAAGATCGGAATCATCTAAATTATTCTTGACATTTTTTATCTATGACAATTTTGTTTCACTGTTTTACAAGTTCTGTATATGCCCATTGCCCAACTTATGAGACCTTATGTATTTTTCCAGACATCATCTCAATACTTCCTGAAAATTTCATGGATTCATTTCCGCTTGGTTATGTTTTAATTTTTTACATCATTGAATTTAAAAATTTAAAAGAGTAATATTTTCTAACGTCAATACTTATTAGAAGCCATGGGGTTCGTCAAGGTTGTTAAGAACAAGCCATACTTCAAGCGGTTCCAGGTTAAATACAGGAGACGAAGGGAGGGTAAGACCGATTACTTCGCCAGAAAGAGGCTCATAATCCAGAACAAGAACAAATACAACACCCCCAAATACAGGCTGATTGTTAGGTTTACCAACAAAGTTATCATCGCTCAGGTCGCTTATGCTACCATCGAGGGAGATAAGGTCAGTCTAGCTTCTTTTTGGCCCACTTTTCCCAAATTTTGCTCCACCATTTACAGAATTCTTGGTAAAAAATCAATGCTCTAACGCATTATTCTTAGTTTCGTGATCCAAAACGTTGTCACAATTATAAAGATGAATTATCAAATAATGAAAGTGTGAAAACTATAGAATTTAGAAAGTTGACTGTTCATATCTTTACAGATTGTGTGTGACGCCAGAAGTTCCGAGCTGCCCAGATACGGAATCAAGGCTGGTCTGACCAACTACCCTGCTTCATACGCTGTAGGACTCCTCCTCGCCAGGAGACTTAACCAGAAATACGGACTCGATGAGACTTACACTGGTTAGGAATGTTTATTGCTATCATTAGTTCATCTGTTGATTGCTTTCATTACTAATGAATATTTATGGAATGTTACTGACAACAAAATATTGTTGAAGCCTTTTGAATCGAAAAACCTTTCGATTGCAAATTTACTGTTCCGCGGATAGCGATGTTACTGCTATATCTTCTTTGAACAAGATGTCTACAGGTGTGGAGGCTGTTGACGGAGAAGAGTACTTCGTTGAGAAGGAGGGAGAGAGGGGAGCATTCTACTGTGTCCTCGACACTGGTCTCTCCAAGACCTCCTCCGGAGCTAGAATCTTCGGAGTCTTGAAGGGAGCTGTTGATGGTGGTCTCGATATCCCTCATTCCTCAAAACGATTCCCCGGATACAACATGGAGAGCGGTGAGTGTGATGGAGCGGTATTAGTGTGATAGAGCAGTATTAATGTGATGTTGTGGTAAAACGCAGCTCATTTGATCCGTGTACTAGGTTTCCGTTCGCAGCAATGAGACCGATATTGATGTCTGGTTATAATGTTTTTTTTCTATAGAATATTTGCAATCACCCAATCATGTAACATAGTTATAGCATTTCACCGTGTCTGCTCCCCAGGTGACTACGATGCCGGCGCCCACAGAGCCAGAATTCTCGGAGCTCACGTCGGCAGCTACATGCAGACCCTCCTTGACGAGGACGAAGATGCCTATAAGAGACAATTCGCCGTCTACAAGAAGGAAGGTATCATGCCAGACATGATCGAGGAAATGTACACCAAGGTAAATGCTTTGAGCCACAACCGTTCAATTCTGATCTACGTTTATGAATAATAATTGATATGCTGTTTTTATATTGTACTGTAATACATATTCCGGACCTTTTATTGAGTGACTTTTTTGTTACATAAATAAAATTCGCAGGCACACGCTGCTATCCGAGCCGATCCAGTGGCCTCAGCCAAGAAAGAGAAGCCAGATGATTACAAACCCAAGAGTTACAAGAGGCAGAGAATGTCCCTTCAACAACGCAAGGGAAGGGTCGCCCAACAGAAGGCTGCGTTCCTTGCGCTTCATTAATTTTATTTGCAAAGAATTTTTTAAACTATCTGAACAAATGTGTTTTATTAGTTAATATGTTTAAGAAAATATAGCGGGTTCCCTGTAAGCGGCTAACAGAGGGGAAAGGAGTGGTTTACAATCCGGCCAAAACCTGGCTTTAATATTAGTCAGTGTAATGAACGCCAAGTGGGGGCACTACATTCTTGCCTCAAATTATAGTAAATTCCCTTACCCCTAAGTTCCATGCCCGAATTTTCACTCAAATTTTTCACCCAAATAAAATTTGCCCGAATTTTTAACCCACATTTTTCGCTTCGACTGAAATATTCGGGCTAAAAAAATTCGTGAACTTGCGCACGAATTTTTAAAATTTCACTCAAATAATATAGTCGCTGCGGTTGTAATCAATACTATAATTGCATTTCGTTGTCCTAAATGTTTCTGGGATTACCTAACGCATATCATCATAACACTAATGATAACAACGCTATTACACTACACATCGATTACACGATTAGCCATTTTATTGAGGAGCTGCAGTGAGTCATTTTCGGGTTCCCAAGAACCAATGTTTTATTATCTGATATTTAGGATGACTGAGGAGGACTGAGGAAGAGGAGGAGGAGGACTGAGAAGAAGGGGGAGGAGGAAGAGGACTAAGGACGAGTAGGACTGAGGATGAGGAGGACTTAGGAGGGGAAGGACTCAGGAGGAGGAGGACGACGAGGACGACGAGGACGACGAGGACGACGAGGACGACGAGGACGAGGAGGACAAGGAGGACTGAGAAGGAGGACGAAGGACGAGGAGGACTGAGAAGGAGGACGAAGGACGAGGAGGACTGAGAAGGAGGACGAGGAGGACTAAGGACGAGGAGGACTGAGGAAGAAGAGGAGGAGGAAGCATCTAAATGTTATTTCCACAACATTCTTGTCTGTTTTTGTTCCGTTCTTGTCCGCCCTACTTTTTGTCCGTTTTGAAAATATAGGGTACCGAACGGACAAAAACGGGCACAAAACATGATCCCCTCCCCAGTCCTTATATCTTTATATTAATTTAAGTTGGTCAAACATGTTAATTGCAAAGGAATTATTCTTGACTATGAAAGTTCAAACAACTTAATTTAGATATGTCAACCCTATTTTCTTAAATTTACACAAAAAAGTTTATAGAAAATATATGAAGGACACTAATTTGCTTCAGCACATTGGTTGTTACACTAGTTTACTATACGTGATGTTTACGTAATTTTCATCCTAATTTAAACTTAGGTGGTCGCAGTCTCGATCTCACCCGACGCAACCGATACGCGTATCGATTTCCGCACGCAAATTATTTGGGCATGGAACATGTCACCCGAATAAATTTTTTTCACAAATAAAATTTGCCCGAATTATTTTACCGTATTATTTGGCCATGGAACTGGGGTTAAGTGCATATAATACAATCCGAAAGTGAAGCACGATAATTCCGAGCGGCAAGTGGCTCTCTTACTAACAAAGTATAAAGGGTCGTTCACATATTATTATTACGCCGAACGGGGAGGGGGGGTTTCCAAATGATTACGCTAGTGTAATTTTGACACAAAAGCTATGTTTCCCATAAACAAATTGGTCAGTTAATTGATGATGGTGCGAAACCAAATTGGGGTACTGGGAGTCAAAATCGCGAATAAAATTGCAAAATCAAATTGTCTCAATCTTATTGTAGGTTTACAACCTACCAGGACGCGCGCCGAGTTGGACTCGTCGACGGTCCTGGAACAGATGGAACAGATGGAACAGATGGAACAGATATTTTACGATGGAACAGATATTTTACGAGTATCACCCGTTAACAATCTTAAAGTCCCATTTTCAGTTTTTGAAGATGGGAAGACCAAAATTTTACAGTAATTTGACTGATTTTTTCACCCGCACCCTGACGGATGTTACTCGTCTAAATTTCTTCTCGAAATGGTCCGATGACAAGTGCTACGAAGTAGCGCGCGCCGGGCCAAATCATTAACAATGGTCAAACCCGCACCCAATTAGTAAGTCAACTATAAATGCCATATGACACGATTGAGATCCTGGAAGTTTGATTTCGGTCGGAGGTTGATTCACGATGTCAATCCTTCCCATCTCGCCGATCTGCATACGGTTGCGAGAAGCATTATTTGATGCGCGCGCGACCCAGTAGTGCATCGCGCTACAAGGTCGGAGGAAGCCCACAGCGCAGCAGAAAGCTTGTATGTCAAAATCCTGTCCCATTTTCAAATATGAAATTTTTTGATCAACACAAATTTGAAAGATTGGATGAAAACCTTGCCTAGAAACCAAAAAGTCAGTTGATTGATGATGGTATTTTGTAGCGCGATGCACTACTGGGTCGCGCGCGCATCAAATAATGCTTCTCTTAAGCAGATCGGCGAGATGCGAAGGATTGACATCGTCAATCAAGATGGTATTTAACAATAACGGGTGATACTCGTAAAATATTTGTTCCAAACTCGGCGCGCGCCCTGGTTAGGTTATAGGTAGGTAGGTTATAAACCTACAAGTACAATGATGGGTTATAAACCTCCAATGATGGTATGATTATGAAACCAAAAATTGAGGTACTGGGAGTAAAAATCCCGAATAAAATTGAAAAATCATATTGTCCCAATCTTTGTCCCATTTTTAGTTTTTGAAGATGAAATTTCCAGGACCGAAATTTTACAGTTTTTACCGATTTTTTCACCCGCATCCAATTAGTAAGTCAACTATAGATGCCAAATGACACGATTGATGTGCTGGAAGTTTGATTTCGGTCGGAGGAAGCCCGCACACCGCAGCAGAAAGCTTAACAAAACAAAAAGTTATATTTTCAAAATCCTGTCCCATTTTCAACATTCAAATATGAAATTTTCTGAACCCAAATTTGACAGATTGGATGAAACTTTTGCCCAGAAACCAATAAGACAGTTAATTGATGATGGTATGAAACCAAATTGAGGTAATGGGAATCAGGAATCAAAATCCCGAATAAAATTGCAAAATTAAATTGTCCCAATCTTTGTCCCATTTTCAGTTTTTGAAGATGAAATTTCCAGGATCGAAATTTTACAGTAATTTGACTGATTTTTTCAACCGCAACCAATTAGTAAGTCAACCATAAATGGGGGGGATCCAACTACATTTTTGTACACTAATTTAGCGTACATTTGGCAAAAATCTGATGGCCATGTACATTAATGGTCATAAAAAATGTACAAAAAATCGGAAATCCCTGGAAACGAAACAGGAAAAAACATATTTTGTACATGGACATTTGGCAAAAATCTGGTGACCAAACAGGAAAAAACATATTTTGTACATTTTTGTACATGTACATTTGGCAAAAATCTGGTGGCCAAACAGGAAAAAACATATTTTGTACATGGACATTTGGCAAAAATCTGGTGGCCAAACAGGAAAAAACATATTTTGTACATTTTTGTACACGTACATTTGGCAAAACTCTGGTGGACATGTACAAAAATGTTGTATCACGTTGCGACCCCCACGGTCGTTTCACTATGGTCCCCCTTTATCGTCCTGACGATACAGGCGGGTCATACAACGTATGACAACAAAAATGTAGTTGGACCCCCCCCCCCCCCTAAGTAAGTCAACAATAGATAACAATTATGACACGATTGAGGTGCTGGAAGTTTGATTTCGGTCGGAGGAAGCCCACAGCAGAAAGCTTAACAAAACAAAAAGTTGTATTTTCAAAATCCTGTCCCATTTTCAAATATGAAATTTTCTGAACACAAATTTAACAGATTGGATGAAACTTTTGCCCAGAAACCAATTAGTCAGCTAATTAATGATGGTATAAAACCAAATTGAGGTGTACTGGGAGTCAATATCCCGAATAAAATTGCAAAATCATATTCAATATTGTTGATTGTTATGTCCCAATATCTGTCCCATTTTCAGTTTTTGAAGATGGAATTTCCAGGACCGACATTTTACAGTTTTTACTGATTTTTTCACCTGCAACCAATAAGTAAGTCAACAATTGATAACAAATGACACGATTGAGGTGCTGGAAGTTTGATTTCGGTCGGAGGAAGCCCACAGCAGAGCCAGAAAGCTTAACAAAACGAAAAGTTGTATTTTCAAAATCCTGTCCCATTTTCAAATATGAAATTTTCTGAACACAAATTTGACAGATTGGATGAAACTTTTGCCCAGAAACCAATAAGACAGTTAATTGATGATGGTTTGAAACCAAATTGAGGTACTGAGCGTCAAAATCCCGAATAAAATTGCAAAATCATATTGTCCCAATCTGTGTCCAATTTTCAGTTTTTGAAGATGAAATTTCGAGGACCGAAATTTTACAGATTTAACCGATTTTTTCACCCGCAACCAATTAATAAGTCAACAATAGATACCAAATGGCACGATTGAGGTGCTGGAATTGTTTGATTTCGGTCGGAGGAAGCCCACAGCAGAAAGCTTAACAAAACATATAAGGCCTGATCAAGTAGCTTGAGCTCTGGTGAAGTCACGAGATATAGTCAGCATTCGACACGTTACGAATGTGATTACGTGACAGATGATTTACGAAGCAAGGTCACGTGATTTGATCGGCGGTCACTGGACTTCAATCATAGACAGGCCTATAATTACTAATTTTTAAATGACCGATATCTTGATTTTTAATATGATAACAGCGTAAAGAGAATGCTTCTCGGAATCACTATCAGCACAATGAAGAGAACAAGATGCTGTTAGACTGGACCGGTAGTCCCTACGGTTTTTACGGTTTTATTATTTGGAACAAACATTTTACGTGTATGTAATTACTTAGGGGGGGGGGGGGGGGGGGGGTCAACCTCATTTTACCTCATCCCAATTTTGCCTTTTTTGGCTGCCCGAATGAGGTAAAATGAGGTAAAATGAGGTAAATTTCGGCAAAAATTTTATAGATCATGACTCTCGTTCTTAAATAATTTTGCCGATAATCAGGTTAGTTTACTCAAATCAGACATCCTGAGCTACTTGTCAGTGATCTAGTCTTATTATGGGACTATTCTAAT